GAAAGAGCCTGGTCAGCGCCGCAGCATCTCCGCCAGCATCAACCCTGTCCGACTGCAGGGGCAGGACCAGCCTAAGGCCCATCTGCACCAATGCCACTATCGAGAGTATTTGGCTAGTGCCAGCATCTGCATGCAGCTACGTTGCTGGCAGTGGGCAGGTGCCAGGCAGCGCTGCTGTCCAGAGCAGACAGGCCACGCTGCCCCGACCCCAGGGCTCAGGCAGGACCTGGGTGTGAGATGGGCAGCTCTGAGCAAAGCCAGCCCCACACCTGGTCGAGGCCAGCTGTGGCGAGGCCGGGCGGGCAGTCCCTGTAGGACGGGGCACGGGCAGAGCGCTCCTCACCTGGCATCCTCATTGCTGGCTTTGACTGTGTCATTAAAATAGTCGTCCTTGGAGAGCTGCCAGTTCTTGACGTCCCCCTTCACGAAGCCGGAGATGATGACGAAGCTCAGGACCACCAGGTTCACGGCAGTGAAAATTTTATTCACCAGGGCTGACTCACTCACCCCGAACGCCAGCAGGCCTGAGGAAGCGAGACACGGAGCTGGCACCAGAGGGACAAGGCTGCCCCCACCCCTTCGCCCAGGCGCCCGCCAGCTCCTGGCTCTGGCACTCACCTGTGAGCAGGAAGACCAGGATCAAGGCAAAGAAGTCTGGGTGCTCGGTGAAGATGCCCCCCGCGCTGCCCATGGAGGTGTGGTTCTTGAAGAAGACCGAGATGTGGTTGCCGATGATGTTGTCGAAAGCAGAGCTCCACGCTCGAGCTACGCTGGCCGTTCCTGGGGACCGAGAGGGAAGTCGCCGTCAGTCCAGAGAGCCTCTGCCCCCTCCCCCCGGGGCAGGTCACCAGACGGCCCTGCTCCCGCAGCCCACGCAGCTCTCTTGCACTGCGTGGCCACTGGACCTGGAGACTGCAAATGCCACCCACAGCCCTTGGCCCACACAGCCCCATGCCACCCCCGTGGTGCAGCCAGCAAGCTCAGGCCCAGAGCCGTGCCGCAGCCGGGCTGCGGTGCACGCACCTATGACGTAGGAGAGGATGAGGTTCCAGCCGGTCGTGAAGGCCCAGATCTCCCCCACGGTGACGAAGCTGTAGAGATAGGCAGAGCCCGTCTTCGGCACCCGGGCCCCGAACTCCGCGTAGCAGAGCCCGGCCAGCACAGACGACAGCGCCGCGACGAGGAAGCAGAGGACGATCGAGGGGCCGGCCTTCTCCTTGGCCACCTCCCCGGCCAGCACGTACACCCCAGCGCCTAGCGTGCTGCCTACTCCCAGGGCAATCAGGTCCAGGGTGGAGAGGCAGCGGGCAAACCGCGTCTCGTCGGAGCTGAGATCCAGGACGCGGCGGCGGATCAGCTTCCTCCCAAAGCTGACCATTTTTGTCTGAAACATCTTCTCCGCTGGCAGGAGGCGTCAGACTACTCGCAGCACCTGGAAGAAAGGCAAACGCAGCCTCGTCAGGACAGTCCCAGGTCCACCTAGAGACCGCAGGGAGCTCGCACGCCAGGCGAGTCAAGGGAGAGAAGAGCACCCAGGGGCCCTGGGACAGCTACTGCCCAGCGAGGAAACTCCCAGGCTCCATGAGAGCCCGCCAGCAGACCCCACCAGGCTGAGAGCTACCTGGCTGCAGAGCAGAGCAGTTTGCTTTCCAGCTCTCCACCCATGACCAGCATTCCCTGCACAGAGCGCAGGCCGTGGGAAGAACCCCGAGCGGGCTGTGATCTGCGATTCCTGGGAGGACGAGCCCAGCGCCATTTGTGATGGCAACCGGGGGCTCCGCACAACTGCGCACCCCACCCTGCTCGGGGCTGCAGGGAGGTGCTGGGACCTGTTCGCCGTCTGACACTTCCTACGCAGCCAGGCACAACTTGGCCCGGACTCGACTCCGTGCCGACTCTTATGGCGCTTTGGGGCACGAGCGTCCCAGGATGTTCTGCCAGGGCGAACAGATAATTGGCGTGGGTGAGTCACCAGGTAGCAGAAGCGCCCGGACCTGCATCGGCGCCTGCATCCCATTCCCAAGACACTTGCGCGCGCAAGTGCAGCGTGTGAATGTAGCTCTGCCCCCAGCACCAGGCCCTCCTGGCTGCCCACGTGCTACAGGCATGGGGACATGGTGCCACGTTGCCTGCCTGTCCCAGCGTTGGGCCTGGGCAGCTCCTGGCCTGCATGGCAGCCACCGGTATGAGCACAGCCCCAAGTGCCCAGAGCTCACTGGCCAGGCCTTGCACGCAGACAGCCTGCTCAGCTGACCCCCTGGCCAGATCGGCATCCACCACCAGTCTCCATGCGGGGCAAGCGGGGCACAAGCAGAGTCATGGTGGGCGGGAGACCTGTGACCGGAGAAAGCCGACAGCACAGGATTTAGTCCCTTTCCTGCACGCTCCGAACAGTCTCTGCCTTTTCTCCTCTCGCTCTGGAGGCAGCAAGACACACGCGGCGCTTCGGCACTCCACACGGACGGCTGGAATTTCCTGGCTCCAGCTGCCAGACTTCCCTGTTTTGTATCCTGTTTCCCCTGCCACGGGGCACAGTGGGGACCTAGCACTGACAAGCCAGACGGCCCGAGCAATGCCTCCAAGCGGAGAGCAAGCCTGTCCCTGGGCATGCGCACCCTTCCCCTCCCCCTCCCCCTCCAACACCAAAGCCCACCGGCATCTCTCAAACCACCTCCCGCGGTCGGCTTCCACAGGAGATCAAAGCATCCCACACAGGCAAGGCAGAGAGATGGACCCCGGAAGGCAATCACAAAACCACCATGCTAATGTTCAGGATTCACACAACACCACCGGCTCCTCACACGCCGGCACTGAGCAGGTGTTTTATGGAGAGAGGGTTTCCAAACAACTCTACCAGCTTAGCAACAGCAGGACACGCCGAATGACCACTGGCAGCAAGACACCCCGGTGCAAACCCAAGAGGCTGCTTTCCCCAGGCCATGTCATCGCAGCTCGCCAGTCCAGCTGGATCGAGAGCCAGAGACAGACACGCTGCCACGAGCTCGCTGCCTCTCCCACCCCAGCCTAGCCACTGCAAAGCCTCACATGCACCAGCCCTCAGCACTAGCTCCCCCACCCCACCCCACCCAGCTTCACGTCCTCAGCTCCACACCTGCTGCCTGGAGAAGTGGATGCAAGTGCCTCCAGCTCTCCCATCACAGGCATGTGCACTGCACTGTCTGGTGCACACAAAAAAGCCCAATCATTTGCTGCCTCTCCAGGGCACTCCAGATGTGCAAGAGTTGTTCTGGTACAATACGGGGCCAGCCAGATACCAATTAGGCTCATGCCCTTCCCTCCACACATGGGGATGCCCATGGGCAGTACATCTGGGATCCTCCGCTAGGTCACCATCAGCTGCCAAGCCACCAGCTAAGCCAGTGCCCGGGAGGAATCCCAGCAGCGACTCCCAGAACTAGAGATTCACCCCAGGCTTGATGCTTGCTGCTGGGCCCAGAGACACTGCCGGGCCCTGGGTAAAGGTGTGTCCATTTTGCATTACTTGTGCTTTTGGCCATGCCCTGTGGAGCAGCAGAAGTGCAGGCATTACAGCCTGTGCTGCTGAGCCCAGAGGCGCATTGCTGGGACCAGGGTATAAAGGAGCTGATTAGCGGCTTCAAGGACTGATTTGTGTCTGGCAGAGCTAAGCTAACCCAGCCCCACTACAGCTGGCAGTGCCAGGGAATGGCTCTGGGCACCATGTGGCCCATGCAGTGGGGAATCCAGCACTAGCCCGGGAAGGGCTGATGCCATGTGCTGAGGGACAGCAGCGACGCCACCACTGGAGTGTGCCCAAGAGGAGCCCTCTTGGCAGCGTCATGGGGAGCAAGGAGGCACGTTCTGGGCAAGTTTTGCCCTCCACTGCTAAGAGACATGCGATTCAGGCAGTCCCAAGCACACCCTGCTCAGTAGCTTCCACCCACACGGAAGAAGTCCTGTCTAGACACCACAGCAACAGCTCGACTGGCGTTTTGCTGCGTGAACTGCTGCCTTGGGGTGCTCCGGGCCCATGAGCCGCCAGCCACGTCTCTGGAGCAGGCTACTGAGGCCAGGAACAAAGCCATCCTCCTCTCCACCCTGCCGAAATCCGCTGCCCCCTGCGATCACGCGGGCGGCGTGCCGACAGCCCTCCTCCTGGAGCGCACAGGCAGAACCCACATCCAGTGCCACGTAGTGAAAGCAGCCGAAAAGCCCCTCCCCAGCCTCAGGCTGTCAGCAAGAGCTGGGCCAGGAAACATTGCAGCAGAGCGTAAGCAGCTCAGGAGGTCTTAGCGTGCCGGAATAGGAAGCTTTACACACGCAGGCGAAGCACACGCCTGATGCAGCACACAGGGGCCTTCGAGAGGCCGACAACCTGGCACAGGTCTGGGCAGAGAAGTCTCCGGGTCGCCCCCCAAAGCTGCCAGCATCTGCCCGGGCTGGACTGGACTGGACTGGACTGGACTGTCCATCCATTAGTTCTCCCCGACCCGAGCACCAGCTGCCTGCCCGCTGCCAAGCCTGTCTGCCCGGGCAGTCAGCGCTACCCCCAGGGACGGCCCTGCCACACGCTCTGGAGAAGTTTGTGCAGTAACTCGTGGGGAGTGCCAGGGTCCCTGGCATCCGTCCTGTCCGCGGCCCCAGGCGGGAGTGCAGGCACGCAGCAAGAGCTGCTGCTCCCGGGGTAATGAATCGAGCAGACCAGCTCCTCGCAGGAGGCCCAGCTGCTCCCTCAAAGCTTCGCTGTCTATTAAAAGCCAATAAATGGCTCCTGGGGCCAGCAGAGAAGGTCCAGTTTGTTCCTCTCCTGCCTCATTGCCCGAAATGGCATGGCCAGAAGCGGGCTGCTCTCTCCAGCGCCGCGCAGCCTGGGAAACAGCCTGAGAGTGGGAGCACCTGCCGTGACTGATGGGGACAAGACCCACCTCGTGCCCTGCGGCGCCCAGCACTCCCTCCATCAGCGCCGTGTGTCTGGCCCCGCCGGCCCTGCTGTCAGACATGGCAGCACGGTCACGGCTCCCGCCCGCGCGCGCAGGGACCGCGATGCCCCTGGCAGCCCGCAGCGTCTCCCGTCACGGTGTCCGGCTCCCAATGGGGCTCCCAGTGGGGCACCGCGACGGAGAGCCGTCCGGGCCAGGCATCCCCGGAGGTGGGGGTCAGAGGGCGCGATCCACGCGCCACAACAGAGCCCCGCTGTGGAGAGGGCAGCAGAGGGGACCTGGCCAGGCAGCAGCTGGAGGCAAGGGAGCCCTCGCTCCTCTAGCCATGTCCGTCCATCCCTGGCTGCTACTACCCTTGCTTCCACGCCCCCTCGGCCAGCCGGGGAGACCACGGGCTCCGTACCCAGCAGCGTCCTGCCCGTGTGGGGACAGGTCCCTGGCCGCAGGTGTGTGGCTGCTCTCAGCAGTCCTGCCCACACCGCCCCTGGGAAGCGCCTGGCCCCGGC